CACAACTGAAACTTCTTGGGAGCAGGGAGGGTGAGGAGCCTGCCCAGCACCTCAGACAGGGAGAAGGAAGGACATTAAAACACCTCATTAAAACATTATTACATAATTAAAACATTAAAACACCTCCTCCTGGTGTTCTGAGTGGGTGAGGTCTGTCAGGCCTCCCCTGCACTCAGGGATGGGCAAGGAACAGCAGGGTCTGTCTCATCTTAACCAACACCAGCCCAGCAGAGACAGAAATTCCAGCAGAAAAAACCATGTTGGCACCTGAGGAACAGAGTGTTTCCACTCACAGTCACTCTGACAGTGCCCAGTCCCAGCAGGACAGAGCTGATTTTAAGCTGTTCCTGTCAGCCAGGAGGTGAGAGGAGCAAAAAAAAAAAAAGGACACAAGCTCTGAGTCCAAGCATTAACCATCCCTCCTATGTGACAACAGAGACTTGTACCACTCTGGTTAAACTATTGAAGTCCAACTGACTTGGAGTTTGGAGCTGGATCCAAAAGGAAACTCACCCTGAAGTTATTACAAGAGCATCAGAGTTCTGCTCACGGACCCTCTGAGAGCTCAGCAGCCTCCAAGTCTTCTCCAGAACAAGGACTTCAGCACCACTTTTAAAAAATTCCCTAAAAGTGATACATCAGGCATCCATCTGTGAGGGGAAAAGGCTCCTGAGGGGTTTGACTGGTATTAGGACCCTTCCCCCAAGGATCTTTGCTGTGCCTCCCCTTGCAGGCAAATGGGCTCAGAACGTTGGCACCAACTTCACTGTGCCAAGGGGAAAGGGGCACAGGCAGAAGATGCAGCATAAACAAGCCCTAAGGACACAAATAACATGGACTTTATCCTAACATTTTCAAACTTCAAGCTCTTTTCTGAACTTTACACAACTTGCTGGGAATCCAAGCAGCCAAAGGAATTTCTTCAACCTCTCTCTATCTTAAGCTCTTCCCTGATCTCCTTGCAAGGAATTCTCTTGTGAATTTTGATCCATTATTTGAGAGACCTTTATCAGATTACTCAAAGGAAAAACAAGCCCTGCAGCCCTGGAAGCAGCAGAAAAAGGTACTGAACTAATAAGGAACTAATTAAGCTGCAGCCAAGATTTAGGACGTATCAAACACAGATATCACAAAACTAATTGCACTTCCCATTTCCTCCATTTAGATATGATCTCTAATGTAAATCATTTTGATTTACAGCAGTGTAAATGTAAATCAGTTTGATTTACATTTATCTTTTCATGTAAATCACTTTTATATGAGCTCTTATAAACTGCCACTCACTTCCCTCCTAGATTCCCCCACAGCCTGTTGCTTTCCAGTCTTGTAATTTGCCTCCTCTCTTCACCAGTTTGTCTCCTCCTTAGACTGAGTCTAAGGACTGATTTTTCCTCTGGTTCAATAGCTTAACTTTTAATTAATTTAACTTAAACCTGATGGATGCCTCAGCACCATGACAAAGAACAAGTCCTTGGATCAAACAGGAGCAGGGTCACAAACTTGGAGTTAATCTGGGTGAAAACTCAAGGTAATTCATGCCTAACCTTGTCTCCTTTCAGTGATTATTGGCTCTGTGATGTGCACACATCTCACCCAAATCTGTGGCTGTCTCCATCCCAACCTCACCCACCCTTGGAATTACTTTAAATCAAATGTCATTATTTGGGCACTCAGTAACTCAGCTCTGCTTATCTTGCTATTCCCACAGCTGTGATTTTTCAGCACTTGGGCAATTCAGGCTTAATTCACCACCTCTATCTTCCTGTGAGGTAAAAAAAAGAATTCTCCTTATTTCATAAATAGCACCATGAAGTGACTCACCCAAACTCCCCCAGGCAATCAGAAAACAAGGAACTGAGCCCTAAGTTCACACAAGACCTGACTCTTTCCAGCCTGTCCCACTAAATTCTTCCTTCTGAGCCTCTAAAATCACCCACAAAGCACACAGTTACCCCCCCAAGACAAAGTAAAACCCGTGTAGGATCCCTCTCAGCATAAACCAGGCATGACAGAGACAGCACAACTTACATGGCTTTGCAGAGGGAAAGCTTTTTCCTCAGGGAAGACACACAGGGATGGCAGACCTGCCTCACTGCTGTGCCACAGGACACCTCAGCAGGGCAGGAGTTCTGGACCATGGCAGCACTTCCCAAGGCAGGAGACACAGCAGCACTCACCCCTCAAAAAACAACATTGCTTTCAGTGAAAGCAATCTGGAGCAGGACAGAATGTTCAGTCTCCTCTGAAAACACCTGAGGGTTGGATTGTGGTGCTTGGAAGTCCTTCCCTGAGTTCACACCACCAGCAGCACCCCCGGCAACATCTTTAGTTGAGATCTTGGCTGTGCCTGCCCCAGATTTCAGCCACCCTCAGCTGTGTGTTCTTCATCTTTCTATTTTTTTTAAAACCTCAGAATCAACTTAACAACTCAGCATCCCTTCCCTTTTGGCTGGGGTGGCTTCTTTCAGCACTTTCCCAGCTGCACTGAGGCTGCTGCAGCTTTTTCCCCTGCTCCAGTTGCAGCACAGGCTCCTTCTGCCTGGGATATCAGGGGCAGGATGCCAAGACAGGGTGTACCTTCCAGCATGTAACATGTTGGATTTATGCTCTCCCCTCTGCTCAGCTTTTGTCACAGCTCACAGGGCTGCTGAAACTCTGGGTGGTTGAGGATTTGTTTGGTTTGTTGTTTTTTTTTTTAATTGATCAAGTGAATAGAACTGTCTTACAGGGCTTTGTAACAGAAGCTCAGAGCTCCAAACCTGTGCATGGAAGACCTTTTTTTAGTGGTCAAAAATACCACCACAAGGAGCAGAAAGAAAGACCCTACTCCTTCAATTTTTAAGAGTCTGACAAGTTCAAGATCCCTCAGAAACAACCTTCAACTGTGTTAATAAGAAGTACAACCTTCAACTGTGTTAATAGAAATACAGCCTTCAACTGTGTTAACAGCAATAGTAGATAGCAAGCTCTCAAATGTTCTGCCAGCCTTCTCACTAATTCTTGTCCAGCTTCACACCTCAAACTGTTTTTGAGGTTTGTTTTTTTTTGGTTGAGTTTCATGAGCCCAAACCACTGCTATCCAAAGAAGAATATACCAGAGGAGCTTCATGCAATTATATCAGTAAAAGAGGAAAGAAAGCAGAGCAGCAAAAGGTAATTTATTATCCCTCATATGCATTCTCGTTTTAGGATCAGTGTTCTCCATGAAAACAAAAGCTATTTCTAGTTCAATCCAGGCAGCAGGAACGTTGTAGGTCCCAAATATGAGAGGTCAGGAGGCTCAACATCACCCTGGCTCTGCATAAATAGGTCTGAGATCTGAGTGTGCTGCACCTCAAACATGTCCCTTCCAGCCAGGGAGATACTCTTGGCACCAATCTAAAGGCTCCATTTAGGCTACAACTGGAACAGGCAGCACTTCCAGAGGATACCCAGAAATCCCTGAGTATTAACAAAGGCTAATCCTGATCCTGTTGACACATGAAATTCCAGCTCAAATGGAGTAACAGCACATCACACAGAGGAAGGCCAGCTATGCCCTAAGAACCCACTCTTCCTCCTGGTTCCAAACCCCTTCAGCTGTTAGTCAGTCCAGGCTCCAGGGAGGTGGATAATTGGAGTGAAACATATGGAGGAAGAGGTGAGCTACAAGTGCTAATTCTGAGCCCAGCTCTCTTGGGATATTAATGAGCTCCTCGGGGTCAGGATGTTCTCTCAAGTGAGTCCATTCCTCAGAAGCTACTCAGCTGCTATTCAGTTCTTACTCAACCCATTGCCCTTTGACATCCTAGCAGGGGTTCTGAATTCAGTAAGAATTTGCCCTGCTCCACAGTTAGGAACAAAGAACTTTGACCTCAGAGAGCTGATGTGGGCTGAGCTACAGACCTGGAACAACCCAATCCAAAGGGATCCTTCCTGGATAAAAGCAGTGGGAGTGGAAGGTGCCACACCCAGACGCCTCTGGCAACCAGCACAAGGGAAGCAGTTCCCAAATCTCAGCATTTGCCCTCCTGTGGGCTCACTGGAACCCCCAGCCACAAGCTCAGCTGAGTAAAACCCAGCTTAACCATTTATAAAACAATGGGAATCCCAGAAACCAAAGTCCATCTGCAACACCGGACCCAGGGATGTCAGCAGGTCTCTCCTGCAGGAGCTGGACCAGGAGAGAAAGGCAGGAATAACTCAGGACTCACAGCTCATGCCCAGAGGAAGAAAACCAAGCTGATTCAGGCTCAGAAGTTGAACTACAAGAGACAGCAAAACTCTAAATCATGTGGCTCTGAGCAAAGCAACGATGATAAATCACACACGAAAATAAGCATTTGTTTTCCAACAGTTTTTGTGCCAATGCTGCAGTTTGCAGCAGTCATTAAAGTACAAGAAACTTGAAGTACAAGAAACTTTAGTTCCTTCTGGAGCTTCACAGCAGCTCTGGATACCTCAGGACTGTCACAGCACCCCAGAAGCGAAGCACAACAGCCAAGCTCAACAGTGTCTTGGTGAGGACAAGAACCACATCCAAATTTCAACGTGTATTTTTAAGGACCAGAGCTGCCAATCACCAATAAATACACAGCAAATTTGCTTTCCCCCCACCTCCTGGAGGTGACCCACAGGTTCACTTTGGGATAACTTAGAAGCTTTTAACTCTGTGACTCAGTTTCCCCACAGCTCTCTCTGGCAGGGTCTAATAAACCATGTCCCAGTCAGCACCTAGACTGGGCTTAAAGTCCACAGGCCTAAATAAAAGCATTTTCAAAGTGGTCCAAGCTGATTGCAATCTGCAATTACAGGAGTTATAGGTGCAGGCTACTTGAGTTGGATGCATTGTCCCACAAGCTCTACTTTTCAGTTGATGAAAAACCAACATAAATCACATTCCTTGTCAAGCAAGTCTGGGAAACACAAGGAAAACAAATCAGAAGGTTGACCAGCTCAGCACATGGAATTTCAGTGAGTGTTTCCAGGCATTCCCCCCCAGTTCAGCAGCACTGACTCACCTGTCCTCCCGCAGGAAAGGGCTCAGGAACCGGGCTGAGTCGTCATCGTGGCTGCTCTGCTGGCTGCTCTGCTGGCTGCTGCAACAGGGACAGGGAAACACAGCACTTAGACAGGGCCTAAGTCCCTAGGAAACACTCAGGTTTAAAACCTGGATCAAGCAAATAAAAAAAAAAAAAGACAAGGTTCATACTCCATGTCTGGGGGTGCCAAGAGGAGACGGCAGAGGCGGCCGCGTCGCATCTGATTTACGGCTGGTGTTTGGGGTGTCCATCGGTTCTTCCCCGAGAGCTTCCTGATATACAGAAGTGCTCTTGCACATTGCTTAGGCAGCATTTCCTCGTGCCACCCCACAGCACTTCCTGAACATTCCCACACCATGTTTTGTTTACCCCCCCAGTTCCAGGCAGCGGCACAAAAAAAAAAACCCCAGTTAAAAACCCAACTCCGAGTGGCCAGCGCTGAATTTCTGGTGGGACTTGCACGCCGAGCCCACAAGATGTCACTGTCCCCCCTTGAATGGGTGTTTTGTGGGAGATTTTTTTTTATTTTTTTTCTTTTATTTCCAGCACATTTATTCCATGGATTTGCCCTCACTCCCCTCCAGTTGCTCCAGGGACTCAACAGGGTTCCTGCCTCTCGTTGCTGTGGCTTCGTTTCTCGGCAGGAGCTTTCCTTCTGAGCAGCAGGCAGAGCTGATTCTGCCCCCAGGGAAGACTAAAGGTGTTCCTGGGCTGGGTTTAATCTGCTTTCCCTGGCTACCAGTGGCTCTGGAGTCATGGCAACACCATCAGCACAAACTGCACAGTCCTGCCTTGGGACACTTGTCTGAGCACGCAGAGCGTGATAAAATCCTGTGGTTTTGCTGTTAAATAAAACTAGTTCAGGTATAAATACACTTGCAATCCCAGCTCCTACTGCACTGCACATGGACCTGCACATCCCATTGCCCAGAGGCACACAAATACCAATATGGTATCACAAAACCTCTAAATTATATTTTCATTCTGAAGAGCAGCAATTCTCACTAGTAACATCTATCCTGGGGGGAAACACAGTACCAAAACACTGCAGTGTTTTGCACATTTCTTTGCACATTTCCATGAATTCTGTTTGTTAATTTTTCATTCAAAAAAAAAAAAAAAAAGAGAGAGAGAGAAGGGGAGGGACTTTGTGTTCTCCCCCTACCCCAAGATCAGAGTTTTGGTCCAAGAGATTTGTGGTTTCCTGTGAAGAGAAATTAGCCAGTGATTCTTATTATCATTTAATACTTTCCTCAACCACCTTGACTGTGACCAGCTGCTTCTTCAAGATCTGAAAGAGATTGATCTTATTGAACATGGTCTTTCTCTAAAACACAATAATTGCCCTGAGGACCCATTTAGCATTTGAGAAACATCACCCACTGCTCACTATTTCTGCTGCATGAGACAGAACCCTGTTCCTTACTGTTGTGAGAGAAGGCTGAACCTTTCAGAAAAAACTAATTATTGATCAGTGTAAAAATCCTCAAAAAATAATACACAAATCAGCTTCTGAAGTTGGACCAAAAAAACACACTAAACTGCAATATTTCTGATTTTCAGCTCAGGATTTAAAGCACAGAAGTGCAGTGTGGGCACACAGAGCACACTCAGCTCATTTCCCCACTGCACAGGGGGGAGTTTTGCCACCAGAACCTGGACAGGGAAACATTCCAGCAGAAGGGGACAGATTGAATTTTCCCACACCCACGTGTTTAGTCATTCTGAAGTGCCTCGCTGCAGAGAGGATAATCAGGGAATAAGAATTCTATACTGGCTTCAAAGCTATAAATCAACAGCTGGGTAAGAACAAAATATTCCCAAAAGCAAAGGAACACTTTTCTTGGGCTTCTGAGCTTAATTATGGCCCAGTGAACTGGTTTGGAAAGAGCAGAGAGGGAACCACACTAACCCTGGTTATTTAAATTATCACCCTTTAGATACAAGAAAGCATTGCAGGGACTTCTTCTATAATTACTTGTTTTTTCATAGAAAAATCCTCCCACCAAACTTTGCCATTTCAACTCAGACCAAGCAAATAGAATAAAACTCACCAAAGGAGAATTCCCAACCTCTCACCAGTGCTGGTAACGCCACGTGAAAGTTCCCTTTTGGGGCAGCTATAAAAGATGAACCTTCAACCCCTTCCCTGCTCATCCACCCATTAAAGTTCACAGGCAGAAAAGTCCTTCAAATGAGGGCTTAAAATTTAACAGAATCCAGACACTGCAGCACCTGAGCTCAGGATTGTGAGCAATTAAACAAGGAGAGAAATCAGTTTTTACCCACTGTTCACTCCAACACAAAGCTTGGCAAAAATCTGTGAGCTTTTCACACAAATAAAGTGATTTTAACAGTCTGATTATTAGACAGTGAGGCTGCTAAATTCCCTAAAACGTTCAGAGAGGTTGAAATGCAGAGTTTATTGTGTTTTTTCAGTCCATTTTAAGGTGGCTTGTCATTCAAAACTGTTGCTTTGAGGTGGTATAAAGATGAGTTAGGGTTGTTACACCAGAGATAATACAAGGAGGTAAGAAAGGTGTGATTTATACTGAGGAGTAACACGGGGAGAAGCTTCCAGAGTCATGTCAGTTTGGTATCTACAGAGAAGGTCCAAAGCTGGATAAAATTCCCAGGAAATCAGCAAACCCCAAACTTATCTCATTCCAAAGCTCAGCAATGACAAACCTGAATTTGGACAAGGCTCAAACCTTTGGGTGCACACGCCCAAGGTGCCCCTTCCCTTCCTAGAATTTCTGTATTTTAAGGTTTATGCCTTGTGCTTTTTCCTTAATTCTCATGCAAACGCTCAGACTTATTACCTATTACTTTAGAAACTCAAGAGAAGTCTTAACTACAGATTAACCAGGTCTTTTAACAATTAAAACCTTTGAAGAGTCTGCTCCCATCCCTCCTCCACCTCACTGCTCCCAACCAATTTACCCAGGTAACCCAAGCACAAAAAAAAACCATTTTGCTGACTAAAAACAGTGTTCTGATCACACACAATTAGTTTCAATCTGGAGATCTGAATTTGCTTTTGTGCCTTAAATATTTAAATATTTCCTATTTTTCTCGCACTTGATTTTGGGAAGTTATGAGCTATAAATTAGATTTTGTACTATTATCTGTCTGCCCTTTCTTTTTTTTTTAAAAAGTCTCATTTTCTTCTGAGATTTCACATAAGGGAGAGCCAAAAATCTCTTACTTTAAGCAAGAACAAGCTTTCAAAGCTAAGCAGGTCCCCCAGTCAAAGATATTTGTCAGGATTTCTCAAAGTTCAGACACTCAGTCAATGTTTGCACACTAAGAGCCTTTGGGACTTCTCTACCCTCGAGGTCTGGGTGATAAATCCACTGTACTTTTATATCTGCAGGTGTTTGGGGCAGAATTTTAGCCAGATTTTTTTTTTCCACTGGTGATGGATGAATGGGACAAGGAAAGAAATGGCTGTAACCTGCAAGAGAGAATCAGTTAATGAGCTGGGAGGATAATTCATAAAAACCAGAAGGCTGTTGTTATCCACAGCTATTAGTGAGGATTTCAGGCCTGAACCCAGAGGATTATTTTGTATTCACTTTGCTTAATTAACCCCAGTAATCATAAGGCTTTGAGTTCTGTATTATCTGTTTTAAAAAGGGGAATAATAGACACCTGACAATCAGGTTTACATATTCTTTAACTGCTTTCAGCAACTGTGGCAGCAGTTTTTTGAATTAAAAACTACCACGTATGAAATGCCACAATACACAAATATTTTCACCAGCACATTTGGGAACAAAGATATGCAGGTTACAATCAACAGAATAGGCACATCAAGGCTTCTGTTCAAATTTACAAAGCTTTTTGGTTATTTGAACAACTAGAGAGTTCTTTTCGCTCTCACAGCTGCAAAGCACAAAGACTTGGCTCTACCTGCCTTAAAATATATCACAAAATAATTGGGATGCCTGAAGAAGCACCACCAGAAAGAGAATAACAACACCAATATCTGGTGTGAGTTGTGGTTACTTTCAAACTGGCAAAAAGGTTATCCCCGTGCCTTTTAAAGGGTGTTTTTACACTGTTAAAATTCACATTAATTAAAAGAGAGCTTTGGCTTAAATGAAGTCTAAAAGATTTGCAATGCAAATGGAATATTTTAGCCAGTGATGAGCAAACAGTCTTCATTTGAGAACTCCTCTGGTGAGTGTTCGTGCCCAGCTTTCCTTGACAACACAAACAGGATAATAAAACCAGGTTGAACTTCAAGCCTCAGGTGTGTCAGAAGCAAAGGTTCCTCTGAATGTTTTCCCACAGAGGGCTTTTAGGAGCTTGTCAAACCCAATTTTATCCTTCAATTCCGCCCTCCTGCTCTGCTCCTCCTCCCCAGAATTCAGCCCCCCCCTCCACCGCATATTTCTCATGAAACAGCAGAAACAGAGCTCCCAGTCCCAGCTGCCTTAACAGCACCTCATTGTCCTCGGAAAATTAAATTCCTGTCATCAGGAGCTCCGTGTTTCTATGGTTGCAGGGATCCGGAAATGACTGCGCCAGTGCAAACCCCAAGGAACTGCCAGGTGGAGGAGGGAAAGCAGGATAAGGGACATGAGTGGGCAATCACCGGCCCGAGTTCCAGGGGATAACAGTGTCCCCCATCGAGGGCTGTCCTTTGGTGGACCTCAAGCTTCAGTTTGCAAATTAAAAGCCAAAGCACCTTCAGACACGGTTTTCCCCGCAGGTGCTGTTCCCACGCTCGGGATACAGGAGGAAAGGTGTGAGGGCAAACGCGTCCTTGCTGGAGGCAGCAAGGAAACATCAGGAAGATTTATGGTCAGACTTATTGCTGAACTGATCCCAAGCCCTGGGGGAGGCAGGGAGCACAGCATTTCCAAGGATCACAGCACCTCTCCTGCCTCCACAGCCCTGCTCCATCTCAGGATGGAGTCTGGAGAAACCCCTCCAAAGAAGGAGAACCATAGAATTGTTGGAAGGGACCTTAAAGCCCATCCAGTCCCACCCCCTGCCATGGGCAGGGACACCTTCCGCTAGCCCAGGTTGCTCCAAGCCCTGTCCAA